TGTATTGACAACAAGAGATTGCTCTTCACTCCTATCATCCATATCTTTATCGATAACTTTTATTGACTCAAAGCAATCAAATAATCAAATATTTGTTCAATACTTCTGAGACTATGCTTTCACTTCTTCTTCTCCTTCTTCTCCTCTTCTTCTTCTCATAATTATTAAAAGAAACTCTGATTTTGAGAAAAAATGAGTGAAAAAGTCATCAACAAAATCAGATGTATGTCAAGTCAATGATAAGCACGTAATCGCTATGATTACGGCACAGACAACACAGACACCAACTCTATATCTATTGTCTCATAAATTGTCATTTCATTTAAAAAAAATAACACAAAAACTGTTTTTATTTCATTCAAAGCCGAAGAAGGGATCAATTGATTAAACAATTATTCTTTAGAAGAATTCATCGATACTTTGCTATTAGTTTATATACATTAGAAAATACATATTTTTCAACACATGGTGTTTATAACAAATCAAATTATTTCCAACACAACTAAACATATCTATAATTAAAATAAAATTAATTTAAAAAATTATTAAAGAATAGAAAAGTAGCATGCACCAATTGATCAACTATTGGCCGCACACCCCCTCCCCCTCATAAAGACACGGCATATACTTTGCCGTACTTTATGGACCGACTTCTCCAACAAAGCATTTCAGCACTCATTTCAACGCTAACAGCGATTTGAGCGATAAGTTTGACCACAAATTATCTCATCCGCAGCCAAACTAACGGATCCCATAAGCAATGGTGGCGTCAAATGGTGTGTCGTTCGTACTGTCGCTGACTCTGTCCACAGTCTTGACGGCTGGCATTCAGATGTATCGCTCGGCTCTGTCCTCATCGCAACCCATGACCATCTTTGCCGGCTATTTGGCGTCCGTTCTCTTCCTCCTCGTCCTCACAGCCATCAGTAATCTGGAGATGAGTTTATTCGGCAAACACTTCCAGAGCAAACTCACTGAAGGTATTGTCACTCTTTTTGCAACTGATCCACACTTTTAGTGTGCATTGTTTTCACCGTTTGTTTCTGTGTTTTCAGTGATCGTAAGTCTAGTGATAGCGCTGTTTGTGGCCGCAGGTGTCCATCGGGTGTCCATCACTGTGTGTCTCATCTTCTCGTTGATTGGCTTGTATTACGTGAATCGGATCAGCGCTCGCGTCCATCAAAGCAATACTATTAATCCCATTGTAGCCAATAATCCCACGACGAAGAAGAGGAAGTGAATCACTGCCCGAACCCTTTCAGTGACAATGAAATGCATTATTTTATTTTTTTAATTAAACCATAATTTATCCCAACTATTGGTTGAGTTTTTTTTAATTATATTTGATTGATTTGTTCATTGATTGCACATTTCTTGTCTACATTTAATGTTTATATTTATTATGTGTTTTAATTTTATAACAGATTTATAAATATAATAAACATTTTTAATATTACAATTACAATACATAATTACTGTTAGTATCAATAGTTAACTAATATATTAATTACAATCTATTTTGAAGTGAAATACTTATCGATTTATACATTAAATGATTGAAATTGTGTTTCAAAAAAAGTTGTTTAACTCATAATTAACAGTGCCTTCAAATGAGTACACTATTGGGAATCCCAGGGTCTCTGACACCGGGCCGACCCTTTCTCCACTTGAAGACACGGCCCGTCCGATGGCATGCATTCCCGTACGGCTCGCGAGTAATTGAATGTGGATTCACACCAATAGATGACATTTGGCGGACAATAACTGTTGAATCGGCAGTCGTTGTTGAGATTGAGATCAGAGCCGCAGTAACGGCCCGATAGGCGCCGACAGCACAGACACTGGCCATTAGCCACACCATCGCCTGACCACTGGGCACACCATAGGGTTGTCATCACTATTGCAAACAGTTTAATCATGTTGTGATTGTTTGTTAATTAGTTTGCTTTACTTTATGGCAATTTGTCTAAAACTAATTAATCAATTTCTTTCAGACAATACCTTACGATAGATAATAGCCATGCATTGACTGTATTTATATGAGTATTAATTATATGCTAATTAACCCCTATTTTTGTGATTGATTTGTAATTAAATTAATATTGATTGATTCAATTAAATTATACGGGTTATTTCTATATGGGTTCAAAGTATCATGCATAATTGCACATTGTCTGGCCATTTTATTGTTTGTCTCGCGTGTTTTGTTTATGCTAATCATTTAAAACCTAAATTAAATCTGATTTTGTTGTAATTCAGTTAAAATTCAATTTAAAAAGTGATTAAAAAGTTTAGCAAACTTTAACCGCAACCAAATTTATTATCCCATTGAATGTTATGGAGATTTTTTGCTGTAGAAAAATAACGATTAATTTCAATATGAATTGTCCACAACTAGTCTAACGAAATTGTATTCATAATAATAATTCAAATAATACATAACGAAAAGTGGAGAAAAGGGGAAAACTTTCTAAAATACATTCAGTATAACAAAGTCCACACCATATGCTGTGAGGGGTCACATGAGTCTGTAGTAAACGTAACGGAATGTACGAATGGTTAATAGAGAAATACTGTTCACAACAAGCGTTACGAATATATGAGCAAAACGTCATGCGATGTAATGTTTCTACAAATCACTGCTTATGTTATGCTTTAATACATGTATTGAATGAATGCATTAAATGGCGTTTAAATGCAATGTTTTTATTAAATAGTGTTGTTTTGAGTCGAGTTTTAGACAAGAATTAAACGCCAATCAAAACAAACGCCGATTGAAAGCAATTGAATTGAATTAGTGTTTGATTTGTGGCCCAAAAAGAGTGGCCATTGAAAGCGATTCACCACTCAATCAAACGCTAAACAATGCGATGAAAATAATTTCACACTTTTTTCTCGCATTCAATGTTACAAAACATATATTTATGTTAATTATAATCAATTTTATTAATCGTATTGTCATTTATTAGTAATTCATTTTGCAGTCATTTTGTGTTTTAATTATTATCTCATTATTTATGTGTTTTATAGTCATGTTTTCGGCCATCAATTGAGTGACAATTGGTTTTAGATTTTTGTGATTTTTTCAATCAAATCTCATGTTTTGTTTGTGGTTTTGATCGACAGTTAAATGCGTTAATAATTAACGAAATAATTAATTAATGTTTTAAACGACATTTAAATCACATGACAATTGAGGGCCTCATTGGATGAGCGGTTGATTTTGATAACCAGTACTAATAATCGCAATAATTAACACCACATTTGTATTGAGCCGTAGATGTCATTGAATCGACTGATCGGAGCGCCACTAATGGCGGCCGCATTCCCGAGGATTATCCGTATAGTGATTGGACACAACGGC